TCGTCCTCGGCACCAGCCAAAGTACTTCAACAATTTAATAGTAAATCGGCTCTATTATCCGAGACTCAGCCCGGGCACTTTTACTGATTTAATTCACTTGTCTGCTCGGTTATTTTCCACTCGTCCTCGGCACCAGCCAAAGTACTTCACCAATTTAATATTAAATCGGCTCTATTATCCAAGACGTAGCCTGGGCACTTTTACCGATTTAATTCACTTGTCTGCTCGGTTATTTTTCACCCGGCCTTGGCACCAGCCAAAGTACTTCAACAATTTAATAGTAAATCGGCTCTATTATCCGAGACTCAGCCCGGGCACTTTTACCGATTTAATTCACTTGTCTGCTCGGTTATTTTCCACCCGGCCTTGGCACCAGCCAAAGTACTTCACCAATTTAATATTGGATCAGCTCTATTATCCGAGACATAACCTGGGCACTTTTACTGATTTAATTCACTTGTCTGCTCGGTTATTTTCCACCCAGCCTCGGCACAAGCCAAAGTACTTCAACAATTTAATATTAAAAATGTTCTATTATGCGAGATGCAGCCTGGGCAATTTTATTGATTTAATTCACTTGTCTGCTCGGTTGTTTTCCCAGCCCTTTGAAAGTACTTCAACAATTTAATATCACCTGATGTGCAGCCCAGGCATTTTTACCAATTTCATTCACTTGTCTGCTCGATTATTTTGCATCCGGACATGGCACCAGCCAACGTACTTCAACAGTTTGGGATTTAAATGCCTGCATCACCTGATGTGCACCTTTACTGATGTAATTCATGTCTGCTTGGTGTAATTTCACCCGGACATGGTGCCAGCTCACACATCCTTTCCCTGAAAAATGCACTGGCCCAGACACAATGATTTAATATGGAATCGGCTCAATCACTCAAGGTGAAACCCGGGTATTTGTACTATTTCCCACTTGTCGGCTCCATTATTTTGCATCTGAACATGTTTGATTGGCTGTTTCCATGCATTTATACAGATTCAATGACCTTGTCTGCTCAGTAACTTTGCACCAGAATACAGGACCAGCTAATGTACTCACTGGCCTGATGCAAACATAAAACCAGAGGGTGATTTTGAATGCAGGACATAGCAAAGAACACTGGGGGGTTGGTACAACATATGAACAAGTAAACTTAGTTAGGCCATGTGTTAGCCAGGCTGGCTATCATCACGGGACAGATGGCAACATAAATTGTTTAATTGGAGAAAAGCCAAAGAATGGTAGGGAGTGTGGTGCCGACTGGGCCAGGCCATATCCAGGCTGGAGATGGCAACAGATGGGGGCCGGCCTCATCTCTGCTCGGGGCTCACAATGAGATTCATGACCTCGGGTATGTAAACTGACTTTGCCGAGCCAGGGTGCGGCAAGTGGGCTGATCCATATTGTGAGGAATCAAAAGCTGTTCAGCTGACCCACAATCCAAGGCAATTTCAGCAGGGTCAATTCATCATTAGGCTGGTCGGCCGGCACACAGAACCACTCCTCAAGAAGATATGGGTGGCCAAGCCAGCTTTGATGGGGTCAACATATACATCGGCTCATCAGCAGGCACCATCAACCATGGCCTGTTTGTATGGTCAGGGGGCTCAGTGTTGTTGGGGTAAGGTCACTAATACTTGTGCTGACTTGGGCTAGATACGCAGTTCGGACAACTTTTCGAAATTTTGGTCTAGGCTAGATAAAATCCGGACAGACTTCGCCAAAATTGGTACGGACAAGAATCTGGAAATCGGCAATTTCAGTATCTATCATTTAGCAGGATTTTCGGGGGTCCTCACCTACCTCGTCCTTTCCCACTTGTCTATCACCCCTGAAATTGCTTATGTTGAATCTATTGCCAACCCAGCTGACCCTATCTCGTGCGGAGAACAGGGGGAACCTGGCCAGCACATTTCTCACAACCTCAAGCTCCCTGATGAGCTTACTGATTGTTTCCTTTATGTTTAGCCTTGACCGAAAACTTGCCTCATCAACATGTGTCGCCAAGAGACGTGTCGGTAAGATAACATCCCCCAGCTCTATCTCACTGCACCCCACGTGATCTCAAAATTTCTTCCATCCCTTTCTGCGTCCCACACCCCCTTGCTCTCCTACCAGCTCTACCATCAAGACTCCCCCCTCCCAACTCTCTTTGCCCTCCCTTTCACCTTCTTCCCCATCCTCTGCCCCCCCCCTTGTGCATCATATGCTCTTGCAAACCCAAACCTGGTCACTCTATTACTCATAACGACTTCCATCCCCACGTCCCTGCCGCTGATCGCATTTTCGCATGGTGCACTCCCTTTGGTTCGCGCCATCACGCTGCCCTTACCAGAAGACTCCCCCCTCCCCTTGTCGAATCCGCGCTTATGGCCGTCCGAGGCGCTCTCGCACCCAACACAAAATCCACTTATGGTGTGGGCCCTTTGCGCTTCACTCAATTCTGTGACAAATGGGGCATTTCCAAGGAAGCTCGTATGCCAGCTGACTACAACTTACTATGTGCTTTCATTGGCAAATTTAAGGGCCAGCAATCCGGCAACACCATCCGCTCCTGGCTATCTGGTCTGTGCAGCTGGCACATCGTCAATCATGCGCCATGGTATGGCAATGACAACTGGGTACACCTTTCCCGTACCTCTGCAAACAAAGAAGGTACAAAACACAAGCTACCTCTCTGAGCTCCTGTCTCCATTGAACACCTTTCTTGCCTGTGCCATTCCTTGGATCTCACCACCCCCTTCCACGCTGCTGTGTGGGCCGTCACCCTTGTGACTTTCTTTGGGTGCCGTCGACTTGGTGAGACAACTCTTGCCATTGCTGCTGCTTTTGATCCCAAATACCATGTATTGCACTCTACCATGTATGTTTGCTTTCTTTTCAATGTACCACCTCCTTACTGTTCCCTCAGGATCCTATTTCGCGTACTGCATGACAGCACTTCCTCTGCCTCCTTCGACATTCCATGGACCAAGATGACCAAAGAACTTGGTGCCACTGTCATCCTCACTGCATGCCGGGACAGCGACCCCTTATGCCCAGTCACTGCTTTTAAAAACCATCTCCAAGTCAACGCCTCAATTCCGACAACTTCTACACTCTTCACTTACAAGACATCATCTGGGGAACCCAAAAATCTCCTCAAAAATGAATTTTTGCATTTCATCACTGGGATCTGGTCAACTGCCATGCTAGCTCACGTCTTGGGTCATAGCTTTTGCATTGGCGGTCCAGTCGAGCTCCTACTTGCCAGTGTTCCCCCAGAAATCATTGCTGCTACTGGAGGTTGGACTTCCCTTGCCTTCCTACTTTACTGGTGCCATATGGACAAGATCCTCCCCATGTCTACCTCAAAAGCTTACAACCAAGCACACTTCCTTCGTCTGGCTGAGATTTTTGAACAATTCCGTATAGCCAACAAGATCCCTTCTGCTCTACTTGAGAAATGTACCTCCCCTTAAATTTTGTAACATCCTTCCATGCCACCTCTTGTATATCTCCACTTATTTAAAACTGTTGGTAAACACCCTTCCCCATTATCATCTGTAACAATCACCCCCAACCTACACAGAAAATATATGATCTTCTTTGAATCATCTATATTACATCTGCAATCCAAGTGACACTCCACTGGGCAGTCAGTTTGGCTCATCCTTGCCTCACCAACCTGTTGTTGTGAGCTTACACTTGGGTTGGTACTGCCAGTTGGGTTTCGGCAAGTTCTCACCATTTGAGTTCACTCAACGCTCAAATCTTGTCCGCACCTCTTGAGTCTGGGCGAGATTTTGGCACAACCAAGGAATTTGCCCACACGAATTCCTTGTACATTTATTCACTCCCTTCGCATAGCGCAACAGTTATCTTATTCCATGATGAGTAAGCATGAGAAACGAGTGCATGCTCATATTAGGATAAGATAACAATGCATGTCAGAACAAGACATTTGACTTAGAAATGCTAATATAAGTCTATGCTTTGGGGGAGTGCTTCTCCCCATCTTACGGATCTGGTTCTGACGCGCAGAAACTCCTACCTTAAATTTTTTGAACCCACCCACCATCCCTACAGCGTTCGGGCACTGCCGAAACTGCATCAGGAAGATGACATCTGGCTAGAGAAGCTAGAAACACTAGAAAACACTAGAAAGTACTAGGTGTCCTAGAAACACTAGTACTAGAAACTTTTTTTTTCCTAGTACGTCCTAGGACGCCTAGCATTTCTAGTAACTGTCACTTTTTCTAGTCAGTTTTCTAGTCACTTTCCAGTCATTATGCAAAAGTGTATCCAACCTCTATTTATTACCCATGAGACTTCTGATGCAGAATCTGCAACTTCAAATAACAGAAGGGGTCACTGGCACTGTCAATTATGCAGAAGTGGTAACTGTGCCATGGTTCCATTTCAACTGGATCAACCTCAATTTACTTGACTTTCCCTTTACAAATTTTTATGGCTTGTACTGCTCTAGTGATTGTATAAGTACACTAAGTAAAAAAATGGAAGTTTGATGCCACGACGATCCATTCACGGAGGTGAACTGAAAAGTGGCGGCAAGTGGCAGGTACTTCGACTCCAAGAGTAACATGGCAGGAGTATGCAAATCAAGGTACCCGTAGTGAGTATCACTGCCTATGCGTCCATTCTGTAATCTCCTTGTCCAAAAAGAAAATCCGTGTTCGTGTGAGTGGGCTGAGTGATGAGCGACGGAGAAATGTTGAAGTCGAAGAGCCCAGCCCTCAAGAAAAATGATGCCATTGTACAATCACGTGATTATGGTTGAAATCCGCGAAGGGGAATTTCCAAGGCATGCATTCCCTTCCCTCTCACCATCTGTGACCCCAATCAGTCCCAATCCCCTCCGAGCTTCTTTCCTTCTTTGCTCAACACCGTAGGCCGCGCACTCATCAAAAGAAGAGTCGACGATAAGCAGTGGAGCTGCTGAAGGGCGAATCGGAGCCGCATCAACGGGTGTTTCCAATGATTGGCTATTGGGCGACATTCCGGGATGATGAGGTGTATGGCGACTGGTCATACGCTGTCATGGGGTGTGCTGGGAGGCACACCGTTCAAGCGCATGAGAGTGGACAAATGTGCGTACATATCAGGTTCACCCGATTTCTTGCGCATCATCATCAGTGTGCCCAATTCCACGGGTTCGCTGTTGCGTATCCTCGCCTTCCACTCCATGCTCCCGACCCCTACCTCTTTCCTACCTCCTTACATTGCTTCCTCTCCTTCACCTTCCTTTTCCATCCTTATCCCCTCCTTCAGACTCTCTGTTACCTCCCTTCCTTCTTTCCAACAAATACCAGCCCTCTCTTGTTATCCAGCTGGCCTAGACGCAGGCTCTTGTTCTGATCTTCTTGCCCTCCTGAAAGAATTCCACGCACCTGGATTCTTACATGCAATCCTCGGGATGCGCGTGCAATTCCGGCGTGGATTACACGTGTGTTAGCTGTCAGTGGCTGAGGGGGAAAGTGGGTTGGGACCACAGGGGCGAAGATGACGTCGCGGAGAGACTCCTAGGAACAGGCTGTGAGAGGTGCGTCCTTTTCCCTTGAGTTTTCATTCCTTTCACCTGTTTCTTCCTCAAGGTTTTCTTTCCCTTCCGCGTGTCTCTGTTCCTTTCCTCGAGTTTACTTCTTATCTCCCTCACGTCCTCGTAAGTAATGTATCTTTGTTGACTGTTTCCTAAACTTATTTACTTACTATTTATTATGAAGGTCATTCTACGCTGCCACTCAGGATGAAGCGCGGCGGCCTGCACAGTACGTCTTGTATTAGTGGGCAGCTGGGAGGGATGAGGATTCTTCGTCTCACCTTCCATAAGTAACTAGGAATGTTTGTCACTTGTTCATTAGATAAATTATACAATCATTATAAAAATCTCGCTGGGCAAGAGTGTCCTAGTGGCACTAGAATATTGAATGATCTACTAGAATTAGTATGAAATACTAGTACTAGCTGTCCAACCTTCCTAGTGGAGTGTCTAGAATCGGATAAGTTCGTTAGCCCTAGTTTGAAAAACTAGGAGACTAGAAATGACTAGAGTTACTAGAAATGCTAGAATTTACTAATTCTAGCATTTCTAGTGAGATGTCGTCTTGCTGATGTGGTACTGCCAGTTGGGTTTCGGCAAGTTCTCACCATTTGAGTTCACTTGACGCTCAAATCTTGTCCGCACCTCTTGAGTCTGGGCGAGATTTTGGCACAACCAAGGAATTCACCCACACGAATTCCTTGTACATTTATTCACTCCCTTCGCATAGTGCAACAGTTATCTTATCAATCAATTAGCATAAGTAGCTACAACTCAAGCATGATGTGGCAATGAAAATTTTGTGTGTTTAATGCATGTAATGACTCTTGTAAATTGTATCTACGTGGAGCTGAACATTTGCGAGCGGCGGGATAATACAGGAGGGAAACGGAGAAGCGATCGCGCTAATGCGACGAACGCGACAGACGTTTAGTTGTGGCCCCACGTGAGAGCCTCAGCGGCGTTTTCCGAGGGAGCCTCAAGGCTTTACAGTGCTTTGCATTGCCGTCTGCACAAGGGAGTTTCGAAAACTCTATTTGGTTTTGTATTTTCGTCACAGATTGTCACGTATCAGAACCAGATCTGAGCACACAATTTGCACACAACCAACTCCCATGGCGCCATAAGGATCAGATGTGATGCGCACATGGATTACCATTTGGCATGGTGGGCATCATCTCTCAGCACAAGAGATTTTAGGCCTTGTTGGATGAAGTGGTCTGTTTCTCCCCGCTTTGTGGCAGTCACGGTACAACACATACAAACAGGTTTTCCAAATTCCGTTGTGCAGACGGCAGTGCAAAGCACTGTAGGCCCTTGGGCTCGTGGCCAGGTCAGCGGGCGGTCCGACATTCTGGCGGCCTCTGCCGCATCGCATTCTCTCTTGCTTGTCTCGCACCTACAGCGATAAACCACATGCCCTTCTTTGCCCATGCATCAGGTTTTACCATCAAAGACGGTCATATCTATGAAATTGGTGGGGACGTCAACATCCACTTCGCGATGCCTGCAGAATCTATAGGTTGGTTCGGAATCCAAATGTTTCAATGATTTTATTGAACGAAGTGTTTAGTGCCCATTGCAACACAATTACTGGGGAAACGGAAAGAGCGTGATCTCGACAAAGGTGATGCGGAAGCAGATGGACCCAGAAAGAGACTTAGAGAAGCTCACGATGAAACTTCGGACGGCCTGATGGTTCGCTTCCTGTCGTGAAACATTCTCCTTGACGGATTTCTTTTCCGTTTCATAGATTGTCCATCCAAAGGACATAGACTTGCATAGACAACTAACAAGCGGTTCCAACTATCGCACACACTCGGCGTTCTACGGAGGGCGCGTTGTGGCGGTCAAGGTTTTCGATGGTCCTCACGCCAAGCAGGTAAAAAAATTCTCATTTCACTCAAAGGATGTATTAAGCGTAACTCTTGCAGAGTTGGAAGCTCAATCTTACACTGACTAAAAACTTTTTGTGAATATCATCTACGATCTTTCGTATCTTCCAATGACTTGCTCAAAACCCAGCCATTCCAATGTTCCAAAAATTGTTGGGATTTCTGATGAAAACATATCAGAAACTCCATTCATTGTTTTTCATGGAAGTGAGTTTCTTGCAATCTCTTTAACACATTATACTCATGGGGATATCAGTACCTGACAGAAAAATGAATTCGTTGTTAGCTAGAGCGTTGCGCACCGATCTGAATAAGAGTGTTCAGTTATCGATGAAAACGGTCAGTTACCTTGTTGGCGATGGTGATATGGCTTAACCACGCAAATGACACCAGGTCAAAGGGCTCGCGGTATGGATGGCTCTGATTCAGCTATGGCTTGTCTGAAATATGTTCTGGTATACTAGGCAGGACTGAGTTACATGGAATCTTGGAACCTTCTATCGAAGGAAATGGTTAGCAATCTGAAATGGGAGGTGAGTTTATAAGGTTAGCCTTTCGCACTGAGAAGACTCTTACTTTTGAGGATCAGAACTTCGACATCTTTGCTGGTGGCAGCGATGAGCCAGTTCTTTCCATTCACTTACTGGATACCACTGCTCGTGGACCCCATCCAGCTCCATCTTTTTACCATCCACAAGACTACCGCGGTGGGACCGAAATATTGAGCGGGCTCTGTCAGAAAGTTTGTACTCTTTCTAAGATAGATGAACCTATCCATCGCTGAGACAAGTATCTTCTCCCACTTCAGCTGTTTTCGGAGGTCAACTCCATCCTCTATGGTACCGTATTCATTTCCATTTTTTTTACCGCCACTGAATTCAATGACAGACGATTCTCCAGAAAGGGAACTCGACGCCGACGACTTCGTCGAAAATTACTCAAGTTCAAGGGTCGTTCAAACCAATCGGGAAGGCCACTCAAACGTCGCCGGGGACGTTTCGAGCTCGACGGAAGTGGGAACATCTCATAAAACTCCTCGGCGTGAAGTGCGGTGGAAACTTGACAAGAGTGCAAACAATCGAAGCCTCGAGTCTATAGTGCGCCGTTTCGAGGACTACTTGGACTGCGTTTCGGCATCTTCAGCAGATTCTCCCCTGCGTCGTATCACAGCATCACCTCATAAATGGGTTTCCCATCGTTGTCCTGGGTATCTTCGCGAGGAGATAGCCCTCACAGCAGATGTGTCAAGAAGCGTTGTTATTGCTCACCAATACCCCAGTCAAAGCGAGATTTGCACAATATGTGGCCAGCTTGTTCAATATCCTAGCAATCCAGTGTGTCATCCATTTTCTGCGCAGAGTTGGGCTACTTGGCAACGTGAGTTTGATCATTTGCGAGGCTAGTATTGGTATGTACCTGATCATCTTCGTCTCTTCTTGTTGCAGCCGGTTCAGCCAGATCAAGATCAACAACCACAGTCGTTAGCGCCACCACGAGCAGTTCCAACGTCTTGTCCATGCAACCCATCTCGTTTTTGGATTCTCACTCCCTTTCGCAATCCTCGTCCACAACGGACAACCATCATTCTCAATCCCCTCTTGATTTTTCAATCCCAATTTTATCCAATGGCGATGGACGCGTTGATCGTATGATACCACAGCAGGAGGATTTCTGTTTTACGCAGAACATTGGTGTCGCTTTACAGCCTTTGCCCACCATGCCCGATGATTATTCTCAATCTTATCCTACTCGTGCAATTTCAGCATCACCTCCTCGCGTTGTTAGTCTTATGACGCCATTGCCAGAGAGCGCTGATTTTACGCAGACCAATGCAGGTGATTCTGCTGTCACACATATGGCCCATCCGGAAGGGCCACACTTGCCTCCCGTACAGCGGCTAAAGATAGCCACTCAAGCAGTCAAGACAGCGTCTAAGCGGCGCAGGAAATCCGCAGTCACGTTCATGTGCGACTGGCCAGGATGTGTTGACACTTTCACCACGAAGCACAACCTCCGCAGTGGGTGAATCTTCTATTAATGCTGTGCCTTTTTTACTGATCCCCCATCTTCCTAGATCATCTCATTTCACACCTTGGCATCCGAAATTATCAGTGCGATGTTTGCAAGCGCACTTTCGGCGTCGCGCACGTCCTCACCCGACATCGCAAGAAGTGTCATGCCGCTGACAGCAACTGATTTACGTGGAGATATATCTATTTGTGCCATGGCTTCGTTTTCTCATTCTCATCTTGATAGATCTCTTCTTATACACGTAGTTTATGTTGTTAAAGTACTCGCCTTATTCTGACCCAATCCGGACTCATCCATCAAACTCCCCTTCGTCCACCCTCTAGTATTTAACATAGTGAATTGAACCCGTTAGAGACTGGTTCGAGTCTATCAAAATCCAGTGTACAAAGCAAAGGAACGCGCGAGGTACTTCAAGTCGCGTATTTATTTATTTTGATTGTCGAGTTTCCTGCAAGGCGCCTACGAAATCTGACAATTATATATTAAGCCTACAAGCCTTGAAGCAAAGGGGTGTGGACACAGTCTACAAACGTCATTGTAATCGAAGTAAGATGTTGCGTCGACTCGTATGCCCATTACAGTTGTCTACTTGTAAGCCCATTTTGAATTGAGGTTGCCCAACCGTCCGTCGCCTCTTGTAGCCTTTTCCCCAGACATATTCTGAAGCATGTCGACAGTAGTAATAAAACGAGTTTCTCCAAACCTTTTCTGTTGCACAACGATACAGATCTAGACACGCGCTCGTTAGTCAATTTTCTAATCAGGTCTTCTTCGCCAAAAAGCACCAGGTAAGCCGCCAGCTTCGGCTGAAGCTCAATGCACTGGGCACTGGCGACGTCAAGCAAAGTATTATGCTCAGTTCGGCCTTCAGCAGGAACATCCACAGGAGCCATGGATGGGATAACTATGATCCTGGTAAGACTCAACAAACCAGTTGGCACCATCAGCAAAGACGTACTCGTGGTCATGACCTCTTGCTCTACGTTCCGTAGGAATTCAAGTGCCTTCTCAAGGTATTCCTTCGTGATTTGCATCGGTTGGATTACTTAGTGGGCCTGGTTGCGGCAACCCTTGCTGCAGGTGTTGAAACCGAAACCAGGACGGACAAGATGAGACACACACACACAGAAAAGAGAAGCGACACACCAGAAAAAAGGCGACACATCGTCCCGAAAAGCGACACATTTGATGCCAAGAGTGTGGTTTGGATTGGCTGGTGTCTCGAATCTTCGTCGCGTACATAGTCTCCCAAGGGCCAATATGGCGGTTGTTCTGCACATTTAATCCCCGCACGCAACTTTCCGAGCGCGCACGCAACTTTCGACCAGCGCGCAACTTTTGGATGCTAAATTCGGTTGTTTGGTCTAGCATTTCTCATGCAACGTCATCCAAGTAATCCTCAACATCGTCCCGAAGTCTCTCATCGTCGTTGAACACGGCAAGCTCACATAATGTACATCTATTTATTGCCTAAATCTTCTTTTCTCTGTTTCAATTTTAAAATAGTACGTAGAGTATCATTGCAGAATCTATTGTATCAAATACTTTGCATTGAAACTAAGGTACGAGCTCATTGTGCTTGACAGCGAGCGGCATATGTCCGTCAACGTGTGACAGTATAGAAGGTTGACGTTGCAACATGAGAAGTGGTGGTGCACAATGTCGGAGATTTATTTCTTTTGTCACAACCAGCCGAAATTGGGACGGCATTGAATCGGTATTCCAACCAGTGCTAACCGTTGAAAGTTCTTTATTTTTCCATTTTTTAGCCCAAAATTGGCTACAATCACGCCGGAACTCCCGTTGCCACCTGTTGCAACCAGGTTGCCATCCTGGATGGGACCAAAATTGTAACCAAAAACTCTTTGGTTGCTCTTAATTATGACAGCAATTTTGATAGGAACGTCCACAACAAGTTAGAACCGGTTGAGATGCCAAATTAGAAAACTCCGACAAATCCTCGGTATGTGTGACGACCAGTGACATGCTGTGACAGAGCGTCACAGGCCCAATTTCTTGAGACATTGACCTTGTACTCTCTACAACACCAATTCAATATATATTTTGCAATGGGTTTGACTGAATTAAGTGAATGAATCCATTCAGAGAGTTTTCCATGTAGCAATTGCATTTATTGCTCCAAAAATGCGAAATCAGTCTGTTTTCCCTGCCAAATCAGGCAGTCTGAAGAGATTGGAATATAACTTTTCAACAACAGCATGTATGAAAATGATTTGCAGACGGATTTTACTTAGAATTTAAATTCCAATCGATCTACGGGTCCAGAAATTTTATTTGTGGCCCCTGTGCTGGGATACCCTTGAAAATTGGTACTTTAACATGGTTAAAGGCTAATAATTAAATTTCTGAACCCGTAGGATTGGGGTCACATAGTAATCGATGATTTCGTCTCTGCAAACCTAAGCCCAAATCCTATCCATTGTGAAGCTCTATAGCTTGAGAGGCAACCTTGTGCCAATAGGTGCTGCATAGCCACCAAAGTAGAATATACTGCATATTCTTATACATTTGAATAGAGAATATCTATACAATTCTGGTGCACTTTTCCTCTTGTAAATCGGTGGAAAAATGACTGAGCTACATCGTTTACAAGTTTTGGCTATCTATAACTGGTGGCCAAAACAGGCACCTTCCCGATTTGGCGGACTGGTGATGCTTTTCCAGATAGCTCGAACTTGTAAGCAATGTAGCTCAGTCATTTCTCCACCGATTTACATGAAAAAAATGCACCAAAATTGTATAGATAGTCTCTATCTAAATGTATAAAAGTATACAATGTATCTGATTTTGGTGGCTATGCAGCACCTATTTATCTAAGGTTGCCTACTTGAGCTATCAGCTTCACAATAGATAGGATTTCGGCTTAGGTTTGCAGAGACAAAATCATCGATTAGTATGTGGCTTTAATCCTACGAGTCCAGAATTTTAATTGCTACCCCTTAACCATGTTAAAGTGCCTATTTTCAAGGCTATCTCGGCACATGGGCCACAAATAAAATTTCTGGACTCGTAGATCGATTGGAATTTAAATTCTAAGTAAAATCCTCCTGCCAATCGTGTTTATACGTGCTGTGGTTGAAAGGTTATAGTCCAATCTCTCCAGAGTGCCAAATTTGGCAGGGAAAACAAGCTAATTTCGCATTTTTGGAGCAACAAATGCAATTGCTACATGGAAAACTCTCTGAATGGATTCATTCACTTAATTCAGTCAAACCCATTGCAAAATATATATTGAATTGGTGTTGTAGAAAGTACAAGGTCAATGTCTCAAGAAATTGGGCCTGTGACGCTCTGTCACAGCATGTCACTGGTCGTCACACATACCGAGGATTGTGCACCACCATGAGAAGCGATCAGGCGGAGTCTCAATATCCTTCTAAGGTAAATTCCATCATCAGGATCGGAATTATCGGCTTGATCATTGCCAACTACCAAATCCGGTACTGGTTCTCACCATATCCCCCGAGCCACTGTTACTCTCAAGCATTTTGTTATTTATGCTGTAATTTAGTGTGTCATGTATGTTATTTGATAGAAAGGTAGTATAATAGTATAGCAATGAGAATATAGGGGCACTTTACATGGGAGATGGTGCATGGAGAGGGGTGGAGGAGCATACTACTCATCAGTTACATCACCAGTCTTGCCAATAACCTTCATTACTACATATAACAACTGATTCACATGCTACAGGATACCCTTTGGTCAATTTGAAGCAAGCAGATGGCCTGGGGATGACTATAAGAATTAATATGAAGGAGATGAATAGAAATCAGTGAAATAGATAAAAATTATATGAAGTGGTAGAAGGTAGGGCTGGGGTAGCTAGAGGGTGGTTCAAAAGGAATTACATGGAAGAGTTGATGCCTTTACATAGTTGGAAGTTGCGCCATGCGGTCAAATTTAGCATCCAAAAGTTGCGCGCTGGTCGAAAGTTGCATGCGCACTCGGAAAGTTGCATGCGGGGATTAAATGTGCAGAACAACCGCCATATCCCAATGTCATCCATCAAACATTTTTCAACCTGCATGACGCCTATATAGGCATACATGCCTTACTCGTCTACCATTCAAGTTCAAATAATTCACTATTGTATTGGGCTTCGGAAATTCAAAGGAACAAGTTTTTTTTTGAACTTGTTCTGTGTAATCAGAAGGTGGGCTAAATGACATTTCGGGTAAAGCAGGTAGGTAAAATATGTATGATAGAGAGTGATAACCCTTGTGCCCTCATCATGCTTGCCTTCTCAATGGGTGGATAAATTTCTCGGGGGTGTGGGGGACATGGCACACTGTCATCAGGCTTATCTCGTGTTCACCAGACGTTGGGCCGGTCCTGGCATTCTATGGTTCACCACAACAGCAGCAGTTGGCAGATAATGCCACTGTCTGTGACGGGGTTCACCACGGAACTGTTGTTCCTGCAGTAGTCGTTTTTCCACATGAGCGTCGGGCCTTCATAGCGTTCACCGCGTATGGTCGTCAAGATGGGCTGGTGCTTGAATCGTGAGGTCCCCGATCTAGTTATTGTCCTTGCTTGAAATGCGGGTTAGTCTAGGGTTCGGGTTCACATTTTCGATGTAGGACTCACCTCTTCCCCTAGGACCTATGCCTTTGCTCCCTCATTGCCTCTCCCTACAGCCTCCCTACATCTCAAGTTCATCCCCACTGTTGGTGTTACTGGCTTGCTTGTCATTGAAAGGTCGGCCCACATCCCTCAGTGAGGGGAGGGGCAGGAAGAAGGGTAGGAAGAAAGCACAGGGTGACGGCTACGAGCATGGGCAGCAATGGTGGTGGGGGAAAGAGAGCAACGTGGTGGGTGAAATGGGAGCCATCATGCATCACGCTCGTTACAGTGACAATTCACGAACACAGCATTGTTACACACTCAAAAACCTTGTGCGACACACTGCTCCCTGGTGTGTCGTTGCTCAGTGTGTGTGTCGCGATCCTCATCTCTGTGTGTGTGTCCCTTCTTGTACATCCTCTGTTGAAACAGTGGATTGTCAGGAAAACTATTGCCTTGTAAGCAAGGGGTACGCAGAAAAAAATCCCTGTACACGGGGTTGTTTTATTATGATAAGGACTCATAGACCCACCCCCCCACCCCAGCCTTCCTAAAAAGGAAATAAATCACATGTTTACAAATTTATTTCCATGAAATTATGAGCTGCACTTTCAGTATGTTGTGTCCTGGTTGTGTCCAGTTCTTCTCGCCGGCAAAGCTGAGTCCTACAGAAATTTTGCACTCCTGACACCAACGAGTGCTTGACACATCGTGCTCGGTAGGTCCCTATTGATTGTTTGTGGGCCATCTCTCTGAATGTACAGTGACATACCTTTAGGCCTTTATGCGCTTTTGGCATATTGGATGGGGACTCTATGGAGAGGATTATCGTTTCGATGAGCTTTTGCCAATTTATATGAAAACATTGACTCACTGTGTGTGATGACGCTGCCTAGCATGACGCCATTCAGGCAGCTGTGCTAATGTATAGCCATACATCCAACTTGAGAAGGCCAGAACGAAATGGATTGGAAATGGAATCGATAAGCGCCAAGCCATGGTTTGTTGATCGTTAAACTGACGTCAACATGCCAAATGCGGACAAAACATGCATTTAGGCTCACACAGTCATTGCACAGCTCTCAGACCATGTCAAGAATGATTGCCAGTTGACGGCCATCCTCTGGAGGCATTAAATAGAAAGATAACAGTACAAAAATTTTAATTCGGGTAAGCCTTCACCTACCCAATGCCCCTCCCCACCCCATATGCTGGCAATCACCGGTGCATACCCCTTGCTTGTAAGGGGTCTAGCTCAAATGCAGCAGCTGGGTTTTTCTGAGCAACTGGGCCCTCCAAATGCAAGCTGTCGGCCAGGTTCTCCGCCAGATGGTCTGTCTGATCCCCCAATCCTTGAGCATCATTCAGTCGCAGGAGTTGACACTGTTGGTGTGCAAACGGTTTTTGGGTCCATCCGTCCATGGTCCATTTTATCTCCACAAGCATCTTCTGAAGCATGTTGAGGGGAACAATAAAGCGATTTACTCCATAACTTTTCTGTTGCGCAACGATGCAGATCTACGGTGACTGGTTAGATGAAGACTGGGGAGACAATTATCATCACACACAATGGCAGCCATTATCTTTATCAGTTCATCTTTGCCAGTAAACACCAAGTACATCGCAAGCTTCGGCTCAATCTCTAGACACTGGATATGGAGGGTGTCGAGCAGACTAAGATACTCAGTTGGGTGTTCCACAGGAACTTCAACAGTAGGCATGGACAGAATAGCTATGTATACTCGTAAGAATTGGCCCCAACTCCCACAACCTACAATCACTCACTAGTGGTGTTGAACCCTCGCTTGAAATTCTGTACAAACTGGTGCGACTTCTCTAGCATTTCTTTCGTTGGCCACATACTTTGCATCGGCGGGCCTTGTTGCGGCAATCTCTGCTGGGGCTGTCGGCTGTCTGAAAAGTTATTGCCTTCCAAGAGGTTGAGCCCGTTCTGTTGCTGTAAAAAATGATGATGTCCTAGTGAAACAGCTGAATTTTTCTGAGTGGCTGGCCCCCTGAGTGGAAGTGGAAGTTGTTGACCAGGTCCTCCACCACATGGTCCATTCTGATCACCTGATCCTTGGCCTCTGCTGCGCTGTTCAAAAGTGGGATCACAAGGTGATGGTAGCAACAACAAGGGGTCGCTGAGGCGAGGCGAGCCCCAAATTTTTAGGCTGGAGAGTGTAAGCTATTGATGAGGTGTTGATGTTGATGTGGGGTGGTGGTGGTGAGAGATGATGGAAGCAGGAAGCATAGAAAAATTGTCAACGGCGCCCCCGACGTAGTCCGATGGCAGCAAGCTGCTGTTCAGTGCGAACAGTTGGATTGTCCCTTATGTAGATCTTCCATGCTTGAGAGGACCATCTGCCGAGGGCTTGAATGATGTCTTCAGATAGCCCGAGGCTGGCATAGAAAGTGGCGCCGCCTGCACGAGGTGAGTGCCCTCCGAATTCTCAATTGAGTACAGCGAAGAAGCGAGTGTCGAACTATGACCGAGTAGGGTGTGAACCGTCCTCGCATAGAAAGAGAGCTAGGCATGCATTGTGAACGGAATCACGTTGATCGACATATTCTTGAAGAAGTGCAACAGGGTCGGCGACTTCCTGTTGTGAGAATAAGATATCAGTACCACGGTAAAATGGGTCTCCCTTATGATAAGGGAGGTGATACTGAGCTCTTCCTTGAGAAAATGTTAGGGAAGAACATTTGATGATCTTCCTCCAGTCGAAAAGCTCTTTTGAGTTCTTCTGTACCAATTCACCTGAATGATGGCAAGCGTAGAAGAGGCAAGAGAGGATAGTGGCGAAGAGGAGGTCATTGTAGGACCCAGAACCACGGGCAATAAGTAGAAAAGTTTGTAAGTGTGCAGGACGCAGAGGTAATTTGCGGCGGATTGGGTTGGCACAGATTTTCTTTGATCCTCGAATAGTTGTGGTGATGAGTGGGTGAGCACAATTAGCATCAAAGTTAGGATATAGATCAGATAGAAAGTGCCTGACCCCTGATAAATATTTAGGACCAGAGGCAATAAATTGGGAGGTGTACGCAATGTAACGAGCTAGTGTTTCAGGAGTGGGTTCAATGGAGAGGTGATGAGCCATGCAGAAAGAGATGTAGTCATGGGCTCCTGTAGCGTAGCCTTTTACCGTTGACTTCTCGATGGCGTTGACCTGTAAGTGAAGCACACAATTGTCAAGATCGGATAGCTTCATTGTTGGGCGAGTCCGGCACGATGGCCTAGACCCGCCCAGGGCACTCAAAAGCACCCCCTCCATCACGCCGGCAGGAGGTCCCGTGGTGGGGAGAAAAGGCAGACACGGTCATGAGGAAATTTTGCACGATATTCGTCAAGCAAAAGACGTGAGAGGAGGTCGGCTCAAATATTTTCTTTGCCAGGGATATGTCGAACACGAAGGTTGATTCCTGATTCGATAATGATGCCTGCTATTGCCATCAGTGGACCATTGTGCAGTGCTTCAGAAACACGTAAGCTGTTGAAGATGGCGACTGAATCCAAGCTATCAGTATGGATGAGGAGATGGTGAGGGGGTGAAGGGAATGAGGCGACATGGTGGATGGCTGACATGATAGCCACCATTTCCAGGAAGAAAATGTCGATTTTCAAGCCTGGGGGACACTCCTTGATCCCATACATGAAGCCTTGATTTCCATATACAAAGGCCATGCCAAGAGTTAGGCTGGCATCAGTCCAAAGTTCCAAATCTGTGGCAGTGTCGTCCCAGATACCATCGTCTAAGAAGCGGACACCAACCGCCTTTGGGATGATGCTGACGAGCCAGGAGAGATCAGAAATAACTTCTGCATTGAGGTGTACAGCCCCGAGAGGACGAGTTTTCCCACTGGTTTTGTGGTAGAGAGCTGAAAGGGCAGGACAAGCCCATGGTAGCACATTTAGGAGCCAATTAAGGTGGCCGGCTAGTCGTTTCCATTCACGAAGGATTGGTTTGTGATTGGGTGTGGACAAGAAGATGTTGATTTTATCGACGATGTCGATGAGGGAGCTTGGAGGAAGAGAGAGGGAGCCTTGGTTGGCATCAACCCAGAAGCCGATGATTTTTAAGACGCTCCCATGCTCTTGTTTCTTGTCCTCGAAAGGGCACTGGATCGCTTCCCAAAATAAGAGAAGTTGGACCTGTTGACATGGACGAAGCTTCCCGTGATACATGATTAAGTTGTCTTCAAAGTCCCAACCAAAGAAGTCATCCATGTAAACGTGAAGGCTGAAGATCCCTAGTTTTCGAATAGCCAACCAGCACAAAAGTCCGGAAACGGCACACCAGCAACGTGGAGATGCACGGTTCCCAAAGACCAGACGACACATGATGTAGAGTTTCCCCTTGACTACAACAACTTGACGAAGTTGCCATAGAGGGTGTGCGGGCAGGTTGAGAAAAGCAGATGCGATGTCTGACTTGAAAGTTATGATGCGATGACCTGGGTTGTCTGTGTGGGAATCGCGAAGAGATTGCCCGAAGGGGTGCATGTCGTCGTAGCAGACTTTGGCTTCGGATTTTGGAATACCATTGTTTATTCCAGAGCCTGAGTGGTCGGTGATGACCCGAGCTTTGCCATTCTGCCAAACGACGAACATGGGGGACATTTTCATGCCTGGCAAGAGTTCAGAGTCTGAAAGCTCGTCAGACCAGCGACTGGCTGCTCTTTCTTTGTCTCGAAAGTTGCAGATGGCATTGAGATCACCTTCATCCGTGGAGTAGTTGTCAATGACTTCCTCAAGTTCGACTTTCCATTCTCCATCATCGAGAGGCCAGAATCCATCTCGAAGGCCCGTCATGACTGATTGGACAAATGGTTGATTTGGGTGATCTGTGAGCATGGACTCGAGTTTATCGACATTGAAAGGTGTGTCGACTTTTACATGATCTTGCATAGCAAGGAGGGATGCTTGAATCTTTTGGTCTTGCAAAAGGTGAGCAGGTGGTGAAGGAAGAGGAGGCACAGATTCAGTGTAAAGGGCAGCAGGGGATAGGTGTTTATTGGTTGAGTTAGACCATACATAACGATGTCAGAAGCGAGGTACATCTATGAGTGGGGTATCAAGCTTCCGTTTCAACCCTGAGTTGATAGTCCTAGGCCCTTCCCTTGCCTTTGCTGCTCTGTGAGTTGCCTCCGCTAATTCCTTTTCTTTGTCGAGCTTGGAAGAGAGTATTGCAGACAGGTTCGTCTTTTGCTTGGTGTTGGCCTTCACACTCAGAGCAAACCCCGTGCCTGCGCCCATTTGGGCAAGGGGCGTCGCAAATGCCCATGTTCCAATTCCGGCAAGGAATTGTCGAACACTTTGAAGGAGAGCTTGGCGAAGGCAATGGGTTAGTGCGCTTTTTGGAAGACGGGCTAGTGCTTTGGAACATGCGTGCCAGAAGTGGCACATTAAGTTGAGTCTGATTGTCCATGCGGAAAGGACTCTTCGCGTAGCTGTCATGAGCTTCGACATCGAAAGCAATGGCAATCGATGGGTCGTGAGGTACTGCACGAAACAGGTCAGTGACCATGCACTGGTAGCTTTGAAGCTCTGAAGACCAGTGATGATAAACCAGTACAACAGCTGAGCTCCAAGCTCCGAAGACTCAAAGCCATTCGGATTCGGATCAAAGAGGACGCTTAGTGGAAGCTTGCTCCTTCTTGATGAGTGCGTAGCCTCCGCCGAAGTCTCGAGGCTCGTCGTTGTGGTCATATCCTTTGTCCATTGAAGCGAAGAGTTTCTCAAAGTCGACGAAGTGGTCCTGGATAACCAAGCGCCAGATAGAGTGGGGAATGGGATCAGCGAGCGGCTGTACCTGCATGAGATTGACAAGGGAGTCGATAGTCTTGTCTGTCCCGATTGCCTGCCATAGTTTCCAGGTCTCTTCGATGTGGGGATCGGATATTGCAGAAGTCAAGAGCTCCGCCAGATGCAGGGCAAGAGCGAGGACAGTAGCAGGTAGGGACTGGGGAGCTGAACGTTCAACTCCAAGTAGTTTTGCGAGATCTTCAGCTGAGAGAAGGGTAGTAGTGTCGTTGGAGACCTGTGAGCTCGCCAAACGAGAGAGCTTGGCGTTGAGGACAGCCCACGTGGTGGTGTCAACCGCTGTCTGACGATCAGCGGCTTCTCGAACACGTACTTCTTCCAGGAGCACGTTGCGCCGAGCGCAAAAGTCGATTGCCTGAGCCTTGTCAAGACCTTCAGGAGTCGATTCTCAGACTGCTTGTTCTCCAGACTGAGTGTCTGGCAGCTCGTCAGTCTCTCTTTCCTTCTTTTGCTGCTCCAGCCATTGGGTAAGTTGTTGTAGATAGTCTTCGCCCTCAGCTGGAGAAGCGCCTGTGTCTTGGAGACGTTTTGCAAAGTCTGAGAGGGCCAACCGTTCTTCCACAACATCGGAAACAACAGCCTCGAGGGCTTGAGCGCGTTGCTGAGTTGCTTCAGTGCTAACATCAGTCATTGAAAGGAGATGTTGAGCGAGGAACTCGAATGGCAAGGGGTGACTTAAAGAAAGGAGGTTGGATGGCGAGGGAAGTGAGCAAGGAGCCAAAGAAATCTGAATAGATTAATCTGGCAAACGAAGTCAAATGAGAAGTGATAAGAGCATGTTTATGATAAACAGTAGGCAGAGCCTAGAGTAGAGAATCACTGTGCTGGATAGACGTGTCTGGTTTGTTAGGCGGAACCGGCTTTGGAAAGATTTCTGATCAGCATAAGTCCGCTGCAAATTGGCTCGATTTGCTTCCACAAATGTGATAATTTTCTCCAGAACCCCACGTTGATGCAATTCAGAGACTGACATGTGAGCATAAGTAAGAACACTTTGCATCAGCTGAGGCGACATCTGCAAAGGATTCCTAGGTGTCTGCGCCTGCGCCTTCAGCTGTGCCTCAGCCACTGCGCTTATGTAGTAGTGGTCAAAAGCGGCTAGGAGCTCTTTATAAATGTGGGCAAGTTGCTGTGCGACTCCAGGTCCAGATTTTGCTGGTTCCGTTTCAGTTCCATAAAACTGAACAAATCCCATACGCCCTCCAATAACGTCCCAAAGCGCTTTCTGTTCCACCTTGAGGAAAATCTGTAAGCCATACACTTTACATGGTTAGGGAAGAAACAACGCACCTTACTGACACCGAATTCAAGCATCACGTTCCTGTGGAGCCGATAAAGGTCAACTGGCCTATTGTCAATTTGTAGCTTGCGTATGTTGACATTCAAGTTCTTTTTGACGCAATAAGCTCTAAATGCTTGCTCAAAGCGGGTTTTGTCCAATGGTGGAGGAAAGGGATTCATCCCTGTCTGGCCTTGTTGAACAGTCGCTGCATTGACACTCGTGTTCGGCACTTCTCCTGTTGCTGCAAAACCAATTGACATGTGTTGCGGCTGGTTGGAGGCAGAATCATGCGATCCCTGTCGTTGTTGACTCAGACCAAGATCCCGACCAGATGGGAGGCCAGATTGTTGTTGTTCCTGCCTTTGAACAGGCGCAACATCCTGGCTTCCCAACAGATTGGCAATCTATGAACATAAGTCAGTAAACACAAATATGAATCAAGCATATTATTGAAAGGATGAACAAGGATTAGTTTAAGGGAGTGTAGATAAAACAAGGCGTGGAATTTGTGATCAAGAATTACTAAACATACCTGGGGAGGCATAGTTTCTTGAGAAGCAGGCATAAGGGCTTCTGTGGTCAAGCTCGTTGTCTCAAAGATGACTATGTTCTGAAAACAAGAGGTTAGTCTATGTGACTATGTGGGGTTCACACAGATTCTCCAGGAAACACCTTGGGGCACTAAGTGGTTGGGAGACTTGGGCGTTTGTAAGAGGGAAGAACTTGCTCTTGGGGACTTATAGAGTGTCTTTTGGTGCTCATGATCATGTGTCGTTGGCTCGTGCTGCGAGTCAACTACTTACGTGTCGGCTCTGGCCTCCGGGTGTAGAGCGTCCAATAAGCTTGAATTTCTACGTGGCTGTGTCATCTCCATTTCGGTTGATTTTGAAACTACAGAAGCACACTGTTAATGAGGAGTTGCATCATTCAAACATTCAAGTTTGCGAGAATAAAAATATACCTGCATTCATTGTGAGTCTAAAGTTGTCAAGGTGTGATTTGAAGTTGTCAAGTAGACCGGTGACCGTTCTGTATATGAGAAGTACCTGCGATATACAAGATCGGGAGCCGCAATAGCGGTTTCCACCTTCGGGATGCGCAGTTTCCTCGATCGGGGTCACCTCTCTCGAACAGATGAGGGGGTCACACAGGAGCTGCACGGAGGGGGGGACTGAGGTCCAAACAACCCAGGTGGGAGTTCAGGGATGCCTGAGGGCGAGAGCAGACCGTTGATCCCAAAGAGGAGGAGGGGGACAGGGACCAGAGGGGAACGGGGAGAGAGCGGAAAAAACGGATTCATTCGTGTGATGCTATCTACGCTATCGAGGACTCCGTGAACGCGAATCGCTGGAGAGAGGTTACCAGCCGCGTGACGGAGGTGACGGCGCACGCCAAAAGGGTTGCCAGTGCTCACGTGACGTAACCTGGTCACGTAACCAGGCGTGATACATGCATACATCATATACAGGCTGGTCACGAGCCTAGTTGTCAAGTTCCGTGATGAGTAAGCTCGAGGCACGAGTGCAAAACTCATCTTAGGATAAGATAATGTCTGCGTCAGAACCAGACGTCTCAGTCACCTGTAGATACTAATAGACATCTATGTTTTGGGAGTGCGTCTCCCATCGCTTTCTCTGGTTCTGACACTAAGAAATCATCCGTCGGTCATATCACAATATTTTTTGACTTTGGATCTTCTCCTGATGGCTGACATCCCTACTCCTCCTACTGGTACCTCTTCTACCGCCCCTACTGCTCCTGCCGTTTCCACCGACAATGTTCAGTCCCGTGGTACAACCGACAGCGTGCAGCCTCGCATTCCGCGCACCCACACCTCCCCAGCTATTATCCAGCTCTTGAAGAATCTTTCTCTCACCAATATTCTCCAGCGGAACAAAACGATCGAGGCCGAGAATGATGCCAGATCTGCCAAGACGTTGAATAACGCTCTAGACCCAGCCGCCCACCCTCAACCGGGATCAGAAGTTGCTTCATTGATCACCATTGATCCCGAGGATCTGGCCCGATTAAGGGTCCCTTCCTTTTTTGCTTCCGTTCATGATTTTGTTTACAATAGTCTTGCGAGGCACCTTGTGGATGAAGATTTGAAAGAAAAGGAAGGATGATGACACCATTGCAGAGGACGCAAGAGCCTCCAAAAGGCGTTGTATGGACGGCTCCAACCATGTTGAGAGGGTTGTTGGGGAGCCCATTCCTATTGAATTCCCACAGTCTTTGTATGACACTGAGCATTGTGTTGCAGTTCCCCTTCCTTTCTTCCTTACTCAGAATTTACGGTCCCTTGTTGATGAGGTGTCAACCCTTCCCACTGTCAAATCTAATCCCGCACCTGGAGAAACCAAAGGGATTTATATTCTAAATATAGACAAGCTTTCTAATCGTTTTGGGAAGGAATTGACTCTTACCTGCAGCCAGTGGTCCAAGGCTGCTGCTAATATGTGGAACTTCCAGATCTCGAGGGACAAGTCTGGGAGTGAAGGCGAACATGCCACTTGGTTTGAAAAACACTTTAATTTTTTTAATATGCTGAACAAGAGGGATGAGTTATATGATGCGCGGAAGGTTATGGAACTTGAGTTCCGCCAAGACCACCGCAGCCGTCATCTCAAGTTTAGCGCCACAGATTACGACAGGGCATTGGGCCTTACTGAAGAGACCCACAAGCTGCGCAAAGAATTCCACGACGTGCTGAATTCTTCCCAGGCGGCGACTGGGCAGCCTCCACAAGTATTAGTGACCTTACCCCAACAACACTGAGCCCCCTGACCATACAAACAGGCCATGGTTGATGGTGCCTGCTGATGAGCCGATGTATATGTTGACCCCATCAAAGCTGGCTCGGCCACCCATATCTTCTTGAGGAGTGGTTCTGTGTGCCGGCCGACCAGCCTAATGATGAATTGACCCTGCTGAAATTGCCTTGGATTGTGGGTCAGCTGAATAGCTTTTGATTCCTCACAATATGGATCAGCCCACTTGCTGCACCCTGGCTCGGCAAAGTCAGTTTACATACCCGAGGTCATGAATCTCATTGTGAGCCCCGAGCAGAGATGAGGCCGGCCCCCATCTGTTGCCATCTCCAGCCTGGATATGGCCTGGCCCAGTCGGCACCACACTCCCTACCATTCTTTGGCTTGTCTCCAATTAAACAATTTATGTTGCCATCTGTCCCATGATGATAGCCAGCCTGGCTAACACATGGCCTAACTAAGTTTACTTGTTCATATGTTGTACCAACCCCCCAGTGTTCTTTGCCATGTCCTGCATTCAAAATCACCCTCTGGTTTTATGTTTGCATCAGGCCAGTGAGTACATTAGCTGGTCCTGTATTCTGGTGCAAAGTTACTGAGCAGACAAGGTCATTGAATCTGTATAAATGCATGGAAACAGCCAATCAAACATGTTCAGATGCAAAATAATGGAGCCGACAAGTAGGAAATAGTACAAATACCCGGGTTTCACCTTGAGTGATTGAGCCGATTCCATATTAAATCATTGTGTCTGGGCCAGTGCATTTTTCAGGGAAAGGATGTGTGAGCTGGCACCATGTCCGGGTGAAATTACACCAAGCAGACATGAATTACATCAGTAAAGGTGCACATCGGGTGATGCAGGCATTTAAATCCCAAACTGTTGAAGTACGTTGGCTGGTGCCATGTCCGGATGCAAAATAATCGAGCAAACAAGTGAATGAAATTGGTAAAAATGCCTGGGCTGCACATCGGGTGATATTAAATTGTTGAAGTACTTTCAAAGGGCTGGGAAAACAACCAAGCAGACAAGTGAATTAAATCAATAACATTGCCCAGGCTGCATCTCGCATAATAGAACATGTTTAATATTAAATTGTTGAAGTACTTTGGCTTGTGCCGAGGCTGGGTGGAAAATAACCGAGCAGACAAGTGAATTAAATCAGTAAAAGTGCCCGGGTTATGTCTCGGATAATAGAGCCGATCCAATATTAAATTGGTGAAGTACTTTGGCTGGTGCCAAGGCCGAGTGGAAAATAACCGAGCAGATAAGTGAATTAAATCAGTAAAAGTGCCCGGGCTGAGTCTCGGATAATAGAGCCGATTTACTATTAAATTGTTGAAGTACTTTGGCTGGTGCCAAGGCCGGGTGAAAAATAACCGAGCAGACAAGTGAATTAAATCGGTAAAAGTGCCCAGGCTACATCTTGGGTAATAGAGCCGATTTAATATTAAATTGGTGAAGTACTTTGGCTGGTGCCGAGGCCGGGTGGAAAATAACCGAGCAGACAAGTGAATTAAATCGGTAAAAGTGCCTGGGCTGCATCTTGGATAATAGAGCTGATTTGATATTAAATTGGTGAAGTACTTTGGCTGGTGCCGAGGCTGGGTGGAAAATAACCGAGCAGACAAGTGAATTAAATCGGTAAAAGTGCCCGGGCTGCATCTTGGGTAATAGAGCCGATTTAATATTAAATTGGTGAAGTACTTTGGCTGGTGCCGAGGCCGGGTGAAAAATAACCGAGCAGACAAGTGAATTAAATTGGTAAAAGTGCCCGGGCTGCATCTCGGGTAATAGAGCCGATTTAATATTAAATTGTTGAAGTACTTTGGCTGGTGCCGAGGCCGGGTGGAAAATAACCGAGCAGGCAAGTGAATTAAATTGATAAGTACTCGGGCTGGGTGGAAAACAGCCGAGCAGACAAGTGAATTAATTCAGCAAAAGTGCCCGGGCCGCGTCTTAGATAATAGAGCCAATTTAATATTAAATTGGTGAAGTACTTTGGCTGGTGCCGAGGCCGGGTGGAAAATAACCGAGCAGACAAGTGAATTAAATCGGTAACAATGCCTGGGCTGCGTCTCGGGTAATAGAGCCGATTTAATATTAAATTGTTGAAGTACTTTAACTGGTGCCGAGGCCGGGTGAAATATAACCGAGCAGACAAATGAATTG